TCAACATAATGTCCTCAAGGTTCATCCATGTTATGTGGTGGCTGGCAGCTTCCTTGTTATTCTTCAAGGTAGCATAATATTCCATTGTGTGTATGTACCACAGCTTGTTTATCCATTCTTCAGTTGATGGGCACTTTGGCTGTCTCCATCTTTTTGCTATTGTAAATAGTGCTGCTAGGAACATTGGTATGCATATATCTACTCGTGTTATGACTCATATTTCTTGTGGTTAAGTGCTTAATTTTTTGCACTAATTCTATGTTCACCTTATAAAAAAGGTACTATCACCTATTCCAAGTTCATTGATCCACATGGTGTCACTTCATAATGTAGTCACATTGTAAGCCTGTGAAATTGTGAAGAGACCTTTACAAAGGTTTTCAAATGCTTCTTTCTTTTCATGCCCATTTCCCATTTGTTTTTTAGACCATTTCTTCAGGAGAAAATTGTTTTTTGACATTTATTAAATGTCAACTATAGTATATGTTTAAAACATTGGACTAGAGCCAGTGGACTTACCAATTTATATTAGCCTGTTATAAAAAGTTAAATAAAATGTGAAATACAAATGAAAATTGCGTTGCAGAAAAATGGGGACTAACAGTGAGATCATCCATTAATGACCTGATACTCATTCGTTTCCTTGCTGTATTCACAATAATGTCATTTTGTACTATTGCCAGACTCTAAAAGGAAATATGAAGAAAAATTTAAAAATAACTCTTTCACATAGCAAACATTTATAGAGTACCTATTCTGGACCAGACACTAGGAATACAAAGACCAAGAGAATGGTTCACTGTGCACGCAGCTCACGAGGTAATGTAAGGATTCTTAAACTTGAAATAAAAAACACAACTGATCTGGTTAAATGAAGCCTTTCAGAAATGGAGATTCCTGATGTCACATATCTGTGCAGATATCTACCAACAGAAACTTTTCTTAAAGAAATAATCAAGAAAATGTGTAAAGATGTATCGATAAATAAATAATGATCTTTATTTTGAAGTTGTTGTTATTGTTAGGTGCCATCGAGTCGGTACCGCATAGCGACCTTATGTACAGCAGAACGAAACACTGCCCGATCCTGGGCCAACCTCACTACTGTTGCCACATTTGAGTCCATCGATGCTGCCACCTGGGCAATCCATCTCATTGGGGGTCTTCCTCTTTTTCTCTGACCCTCCACTCTACCAAACATGATATCCTTCCCAGAGCCTGGTCCATCCTGACAATATGTCCAAAGTATGAGAGACGAAGTTTGGCTGTCTTGGCCTCTAAGGAGCACTCTGGCTGCACTTCTTCCAAAGTGGATCTATTGGTTCTTTTGGCAGCCCATGGCACTTTCAGTATTCTCCTCCAACACCAGAACTCAAAGGCATCAATTCTTCTGTGGTCTTCCTTATTCACTGTCCAACTTTCGCATGCATATGAGGTTATTGAAAACACCATGGTTTGGGTCAGGTGCACCTTTGAAGTAGACTAGCAAATTATCAGATGTTCTAGCAGGTGCCTAACTACCTACTAGACACATACCTACTCTATTTAACCTTGATACAGACTTTGAAGCTGATATTTTTTTCTTTAAAATTGTATCAATTGTTTCGTCGTACTTAGTTACTATCTTAACAGTTTACTGGGCCAGTTTATTGTTTATTATTCCTTTCTTTCTCTATAACACCAACACAGTGGTGATACTATATTAAATTAGTTATGCTAATACTTTCTGGCTTCAAACCCTTCCATCATTGTCTTTGAGTTTATCTCTGTTCTTACATGCCCTTTTGGAAGTCTTTAATACGTTTTCAAAGTTAATACCAATAACATTTCATAATGGATACTAATGTTTTCTGTTTCTGACCCTCATTTGTATGAGAAGTTGCTTCATTTCTATTAGACCATCATCAGTCAATAGCTTTGAAAGAAACCTGAGACACATGAACTGTAATCATGTGTTTGGTATTTATTTAGGTTGATAGTCCGCAGTTGTTCATTTTAAGAGCAAGTCAAAAGGCTACCAATTCCTTATTTTTAATTTAAGTAGAGTCTTCAGTTGTTTTAAGAATATGGTACATTTTCCGAGACCAGCTTGCAGAGGTCCAAAACTTATTTTCCAGGTACTATATAGGAGTTTGCAGAGTCCTGGTGCAGCACTGTAGGATAAACACAATCAGTTTTAACCACAAGTTCATCAGTTCAAATTTACCAGCCACTCCTCTGAAGCCCTATACAGAGTCACTATGTGTTGGAACCAGCTCGGCAGCCCTTAGCAACAACAGCAATAGAGGATTTTGGAATCCTGCTGTTGCACTGCAAGAAAATGCACTGGACTGTTAACTGCAATGTCCGTGCTTCAAACCCACCAGCTGCTCCTCTGAAACCCTGTTAGGGTTTCTATGAGTCAGAATCAACTCTACGGCACTTTACAACAGCAATTCAACATATATAATTTTGAACCCTGGTGTGTTACTATAGGATAAGCACTGGATTGATAACCAGAACCTACCAGCCACTTTCAGAAACTCTATATATGGAGTTCTGGTGTGGCGCTGTGGCCTAATGCATCAGATTTCAAAGTCGTTTGAACTGCAGGGTTGGTGGTTCAAGCTCACGAGCTGCTTCTTGGAAACCCTGTGCAGGGTCACTGTGGGTCGGAATCGAGTCAACGGCACATACAGGGTTGCTATGAGTTGAAAGCAACTCAACAGCACATAACAACAATATAGGATTTGAGGAGCCCTGGTGACCTAGTGGGTTACTTGGTGGACTGCTAACCACAAGGTCAGTAGTTCAAATCTGCCAGCCGTTCCATGGGAGAAAGATGAGGTTTTCTGTACCTGTAAAGGTTTATACTATAGAAACCCTACATAAGGTCACTATGAGTCAGAATTGACTCAGTAGCCATGGGTTTGTGATACAGGATTTAGTGTCTGGCCTACCATTCAACAGACTTTATGACTTGCCATTTAATTCAGAAATAAAAAAATTAGATGTTGTGATGCTATTTGTTTTTTAAAAAATGAAATTTCTGAATTGAATGTTATTTATTTACATGAATATAAACATCCTGGTAACTTGTGCTTAACAAGATATTCTAGCTTCTAACTGTTACTTACCGATTTGCCACTAAGATTTCTTTTCTTTTTAATCTCAAAGTGACTACCAGGTTGGCAAAGAACTGAATATTTGCCAGCGTAAGATTTCACGTTAGTGCTTCTTCAGAGAACGAGTCGTTTAAATCTTCTGCTCCTTTTTTCTTCTGAGACAATAACATTTCAAAATTACTTTTGTTTTGAAAACAGAGATAAATCATCATTTATTTTTAATTAAAGGGTTTCTCCTCTTCAAAAATCCGAAGTTGTTGAGATGGTTAAGAAACAAGTCAAAGTCATAACATTGGCAATAGGTGATGGAGCAAATGACGTCAGCATGATACAGACAGCGCATGTCGGTGTGGGTATAAGTGGCAACGAAGGTCTCCAGGCAGCCAATTCTTCTGATTACTCCATAGCTCAGGTAAATTATCACTTCTGCAAGACACACCATTTATTTTCATCAACCAACGTCATGAGTATTAATTTCTCTCTCTCTCTTTTTTTTTTTAAGTTCAAATATCTGAAAAATTTGCTGATGGTCCATGGTTCCTGGAACTATAACAGAGTCTCCAAGTGCATCTTATATTGCTTCTACAAGAACATCGTCCTCTATATCATTGAGGTAATAGACAGTTAAGTTCAAAGTCCTTGTAACTTCCATAAAACTTGAAAATGTGTTAATACAAAAAGTTTATCAACCATGGAGAATAATGTTTAAATTAAATTCTGGCTTAATGTTATTACTTCTTTTTATCATAGCAATGTATATATCTATATATAAGTGCTGTAGGATAAGCACTGTGGACCACAAGGTTGGTGGTTCAAACCCACCAGCTGCTTCTCGGTAACCCTATACAGAGTCATTATGAGTAGGAATTGGCTTGACAGCACCTAACAACAACAGATAGCTTACATATATACATATGTATACACAACATTTGCCAGTTCAACCATTTCTACATGTACCATCCAGCCATGCCAACTGCATTTGCTATGTTGTTTAACCATCACAGCTGTCCATTGGACGTGGTTGAACATGATTCCTATCCTCTAAGAGCTTGCTGATCAGAATGTAATGTAAACTGCATATGTAACATGAAAGTTTCTAGGAGCTACATGACAAGAATTAAACAAGTAAAGGTTAGATTAATTTTATTAAGACTTTTAAAATTTAACCCAATGTATTAAAAATATTATCATTATAATTCATAATCAATCTGTATTTTGGACTCACAACCTAACTCAATTTGGACTAGTTCATTTCAAGCCTTCAAGAGCCACATGTGGCCAGTGGTTGCCAATTTGGACACCGTAGTTCTACCTCCAGCCACCAAGTTGATTCCAACTCATGGCAATCTCACGTGTGTCCGATTAGAACTGTGCCCCAGAGTTTTCCGTGGCTGATATTCAGAAGTACATCACCCCAGACCTTTCTTCAAAGATTGTATGGGACACTAGTAGCTAAGTAAGTGTTGTTGTTGTTGTTAAGTGCTGTCGAGTTGGCCTATATAGGATTTATAGACGGTTAATCAGGACCTGATGAATAAGTTATTACCTTTTTTAAAAACATCTTTTTATTTTAAATCATCAGCAACTTTATTTGTAATACTTAAGTTTGAAGGGCTGTCAGTTTCATGCAGCTCTTGCAGTTGTGCAGAACATGACAGTGAGCTCCTCATAGCTTTTTGTGAAAACCCTCCATCTTACACTCTTGCCAGGAGACACGCTCATGTTCTCCTAAATCTGCTGACGGCTATCTTACAGATGTTTGTTTGTGCCACCTTGCCCTGTAATCCATTGGCTGACTGCTTCTACACAACTATAAGAAGAAACACAACCAAATTATTTGCTTCATGGAATAGTTCATACTTTAAAACCAGAGAAAACTAATCAGTTGTTATAAGTACCGTCAAGTCGATTCCGACTCATAGCAACCCCTGTATAGGATTTCCAAGGAGCGGCTGGTGGGTTTGAACCACCGACCTTGCAGCTCAGACTGACCTTGCCATCCAGCACATTATCATGCAGCACTACACCAGAACACCCTTGCCCTGTAATCTGTTGGCTGACTGTTTCTACACAACTATAAAGAGAAACACAACCATTTATGGAAATAATATTGCATACTTAACTCCAGAGAAAACTTATCAGTAGATTCCACAATTACTCTGTAGCTAGAGTCTTTATGTAGCTGTTCTTTATGCCTCTGTTAAAAATTTCCAACTCAGTGGCATTTAACAATAAGCAATAATACTAACATATTAACTGAGCATAGTTCTTGTTTTGTGTCAGGCTAGTTTCAAAATGGAAACTTAATTTTGAGCTATACAGACAGATACATCTATTGGTCACTAAAATTCTACAATTGGATTATAACCCCTTATATAAAATAGTCAAACAAATCCTTGGGAACATGAACAGGATTATTCACTACTTACTATATTTGATAGACTAGACTAGTGTATGTTTTAGAGCAAAATGTATTTCTCAAATAGCTTGTGAGATTAAAAGATTACTGTGTGGATATGTGTGTGTATTTACATATATATATATATATACACACACACACTCACACACACACATATATATAAAATGTATCTGTGATTCCTTTCTAAATTAATTATTTCTGGTTCCCAGGTCTCTCTATATTTCTAATGTTTCTATTTTCTTCTTATCCCCAAACATTTTCATTCAAAGCAATATCAATTTATATAAGTTCTCTACATAAACTTTCAAAGACACTAGGAGTTTAAAGTCACTGCCAGCAATAAATCTGCTTGCAGAAATTTAATTTTTATAAAATGAAATAAGAATACTTCAACTTGCCACATTTTAAAAATCCAGATTGTTTGACACTCAACAATGAAGTGGGTAAAATTTAAGTCCTAATGGGAAAACTAAAATATATGTTAAACTCAAATGAAGAGCTAAGTCTGTACTCTCTTTCAAACCCATAATTATGTGATTTGTGGTTGATTAGCTGTAATTTCACTTGGCTTCAAATTTAAAGCCTTTTCAAGAGATGTTTAACACTGATCAAATTCTTTACACTTTAAAAAGGAAATAAGTTCTAAACTTTACTGGAAATCTCATTTTTAAAGTTATTTTTCTTTTAGCACTTTATGGAAATGTATTTTGAATATAATTCAACAATCTTGGAAACGAGTTGAGCTTTTAAATCAATTCCCAGATACCCAACTTTTGCCAGCTAAAACAAGTTCTGCAGATGTTAATGGCTCATGTCAATACTGTGAATGAATAGACAGAAAACACATCATTGAAGTCTCTAGTGAGGACAACTGCCAGTCTAGAATCTCTCCTTTCAGTTTTTTGTGCTGATCAAGCGTGGGAGCAGAGGACTCATTGACTATTTGTAAGCTGCTGTTTAATATGCAGAAATGCTCCATCAGGAAAAAGTCTCTGAAGCTTTACTGCCACGCCTCTGCAGGGACGTGGAACATAGAAAATAATACCAGGAAAGACGGGTCTGAGGTTTCTGTGCTAATAAAGGAATAGTCTTGAACGCGACGGGTCTTATAGATTATCTGCAAGATCTGCTTTTCCCATTGTGTTACTGCCAGGAATGGCATTTGCCAGCTTCATTGCTGTGAAATAGACCAACAGATAAATACAGGTTTGACATTAGCGGTGGTATATCACTTACAGTGGTCACCCAGTAGCGGCTCTACATGGTCAGTTAAATTATTGGCTCTTTCTAAAGAGTTTTGTTGTTGTTGTTGTATGTTTTTTCTTGGTGTGTCTGTGTGGGTACATTTGGGGTCTTTTGTTGTTGTTATTGTTGTTTTAATTTCTCAGAAGTATCCAACTCCTTCATAGCAAAACAAGACCTTTTCTTTCAAATGATTTTCTGGTAAGATCCCCAAACAGTGTTAGGTCTCTAATGATCAGAGAATTTGATCAAAGTCAGTAAAGTATTGATTTCCTAGCAACTTGTGCTAGAAGATAGATTCTCTCTCTGTGAAGTTATTAAATAATCTAGAGGTGTTTTCTTTATCCATGATTTCGGCTGAACTAGAAGGTTTGAAGTAGGTATCCCAGACTAACCTGAAAAAAGCCTGCCTCTAATAGACTACTGGTTAAAACCCTTCTCTTTTAAAATACATAAACTTGAATTTCAAAATGTTTATATGAAGGGATAGAATATGATACTGAGAAGTCCTGTTCTGGTCTAGATGTAGGCATTTCTGTTTTCATTTTCCTTTCTTTTAAAAATTGAAAAGAGTCAAAATATTAACTTTATAAAAACACTGGAAGAGCGTTTCAAAAACATGTTCACACACCTTCCAATAGTAAAAATGAAAAGGGCTGAAAAAATGTTAATAGTATAAATTTTTCCCTTTCTGTAATAAAGCACTTAATTTAAATATTTGAAAATAAATTTTGAGCTTAGACTTATTAGTTTGTACATTTGAAAATTTGAAACTTAAAAAAAAATTGTTTTTGAAGGAAAAAAATATTCTATTTAAATAAAGGATATTACATTTCAAGCCTTTGAATCACCACAGAATGCTATTTACAATGAAGCTAGGGGACCCTTCACATTTCAAATGTTTACCTATGTACAAATTTATTAATATAAACATAGTGTATAGTATTGCAAAAGCACTTACAGCTAGCTATAACCTTTGAGCCAGATCATGTCTATAAGATGAATTTAATATGCATAGAGCCTTGGCTTTCTTCAGACCCACAAAGATTAGACTATATCTTCTTAGACTAAAGAGGCCATCCTTGAAAGTTTGTGCTTAAAAATGCCTTCTGTTTCCATCATACCTAAGAAATCTGAAAGCGCTTCTTCCTATGTATCACTACGGTGAATCAACAATACTTCAAGGAAAATATTACCATCACCCAGAGTATCACAAATATGTGTTTACATAATCCACATCTCAAAGAGGCCAAATGTGAAAACACAATACAGAGCATTAAAGTCTGTCTTGTCAGCTTGTGTATATTTAGGCTTGAAAAAAAGTTATAAGCCAGCAGCACCTCCCTAAGGAATAAACTTACTGGACATGTTAAGTCCTTCAAAGTTTGCATGCCCAAATGATCTGGCTCCTTACTTAGGGCAAATGTTCAAAATTTTTCTGTAACTATATAACAAAGTTCGTAAGAATTTCCAACTTCACTAGATTTCGCTTCTTTTGTTATTGTTATTGATGCCTGTTACTAACGTAGCTCAATTTGAACTTACTTTTCATGTGCTGTTGCTACTTTGTTTTCTTTTCCATCACATGAAGCCTACATTGGTTTTGATACATGCTCAATCATTTCCTTCCACCATAAAAAGGAAGACGATCAGTGTGAGTCCAGAAACTCTTCATAGGGAGGCCAGCCTGGGTCCATATTGATAAATGGTGAATTTGTAGCAATTCATGCTTCCATAATGAGGTTAAATGAAACGTGAAGTGTAGCAAAGTCCCTGCAACTCCAATTCAAAAATTCACTTGACCGGCATGTCAAGACTGCTTTCCCAGAACAGTGTTTTTGTTGTTGTTATGTTTTGTTTTTGTGTTTGTATTTATGTAATCTCATTGGTGGGCCAGCCTTTCTATGAAGTAGTTTAATTTTCAATTATAATTTAAGTCGGCTTTTTAAAAAATAATGTAGGTGTTATTGATTTCCTGGGCATTCATTGTAATTTTCCGTTTAGTTTAAACTTGTTGAAGAGAAATGTCTCCAGTGCTGTCTCCAAAGTTAAAGTTTATAAGAGAATTGCAGATATATATTAATAAAGGCTTGTTTTTTATCAAGCATAAAATATTTCAAAAGCAGTAAAATTAATTTTAAATAAATTAATGGAAATCAATTAATGAAGTTTAATTTAAAAAGTAGTCAGTTAAATTCTGGTGACAACAATTAGCCAGAATTATTTTAAAACAGACAGATAGAAGTACTTTGACTTCTAAGAATCTAAGAATCCAACCTAAGGAAATAGATATAGATTTCTGTACAAGAGTTTTTAGTTAGAATTATTTGTCATAGCAAAAACTGGAAGCAAGTTTATTGTCCAAACATAATTACCTCCATACTGTGGAGGTCATACATCTTTTTAACAACATTCTAAAGAGTATGTAACAGCTTAAGATAATGCAGATTTGGATTTTAAAGGGGAGTAGAACAGGTTGTGACACTTTATACAGTAGATTTCTAATAAAGTAAATTTATGACTGTTTGTAAGTGACTCCTGGTGTGGTGCTGTAGGATAAGCACTGGACTGTGAACTACAGTTCAAATCCACCAGCTGTTCCTGAGAAACTCTATACAAGATCACAATGAGTTGGAACCAACTCAGTGTCACTTAACAACAACAAGTGAATTATATGAATATAACCAATGCAGAGGAAAATAATTGTCTTACTATTACAAGAAATTGTTTTATTTTCTGTATTTTTTGAAATAAACAATCATTATTTTTATAATAAAAACTGACTACATCCTAATAGATACTTGAAGTGAGAATTAAAGCTCTAAAAACTTTATAGTTTTTTTTTTTTTTTTTATATAAAGCTTTTTATAAAGCACTGTTTTGGAAACAAGGTTGCATTTACTTTATATAAATCTGTAGCTGACTGTTCAGATAGTTCCTTTTTAGTTTTTTGATTCAACAAGTAAAATAAATTCTGGCCTAAATAAAAGAGTATTTCTAAAAGCTTAAATAACAAAGTAGTTTAAAAGGCAAAGAAATGCCATTTACAGGAACGTTATAAAAATAATATGGTAATGTTAGTGCTGTTCAATAGTTAAATATATAAAGATTCTAAGCAATGCATTTATATTTTGATGTTCTAATTTGGGTGGGTTTGGGGTTGTTTTCTCCTTAGATCTGGTTCGCCTTTGTTAATGGTTTTTCTGGGCAGATCCTCTTTGAACGATGGTGCATAGGTCTTTATAATGTGGTAAGTGTGAACATTTGACTATTCCTGTTTTGTCACATGCCTTGTAAGATTCACATTGTGTTTGGTTGCTTGGCATGATTACTACTTTGTGCACTTTAGATGTTTACAGCAATGCCTCCCTTAACTCTTGGAATATTTGAGAGATCGTGCAGAAAAGAGAATATGCTGAAATACCCTGAATTATACAAAACATCTCAGAATGCCCTGGACTTCAACACCAAGGTAAGACGCGGGAGCCTGAAGCACATTTGGTGGGGCTTATTTATTGTCCTGATTACTTTAGGCAACTGGTCTTCCAAAACCAAAGAAACTCTACTCTGAAATCTTCAGGTTGCTAATCATGGCACATCATATTTGATTTAAATTCTAACATGGACTGAGAAGTTTGTTTTGTTTTGCTATAAAATTAAAATGCAACCACAATGCGTTGGGATTTGCCAGTCAGCCAGAAAGCTGGGTCTGGTAGAAGGAAGTGGTTGTCCTTTTGGTCCTCTGAGTCTTTGTCTTTGCCATGTTGTGGGGAAGGGTTCACTCCTCACAATATAATCCTGGGCTGCTGACAAGAGCTGTCTTACATTTGGTGAGGGATCTTACATCATTCTTTAATTTTCTTCTTTGTGAAACAAAATCCTTATCATTGGAATTTGGACTCCTGGTGAGTTGCTGTAGGAGCAGCCCTGGACTGTGAACCACAAGGTCCTCAGATCAAACCTACCAGCCATTCCTTGGAAACCCTATACAGGGTCCTATGAGTCAAAACCAATTTGACAGCAGTTAACAACAACAACAACATTGGAATTTTAAATTCCTTGTCTTGGGCAGTAAATAGTTAATAGTCTCTGGGCAGTAGCTTACATAGTCACATACTCAGTATTTCTAAGCCCTAAAACTAAAAATACTAGTTAAAACATCCAACTAAATTCGTACTGAGTCCATCTCCTACATAGCGAGTAACGGGCAATTGCCAGCTCTTGTATTCTATGGTATTTATTCATCCCAGCAACAAAAATATCTCATTTTCTAGTGTGGTGTTGTAGGATAAGCACTGGACTTCTAACCACAAGTTTGGCAGTTCAAACCCACCAGTCACTCCTCAGAAACCCTATGCCAGCTAGCTGTGAGTTAGAACTGACTCAATGACACTTAACAACAACTTACTCATTGGCACTTAACAACAACAGCAACAACTTTTAAAAAGCATTTATATTGGTATTTGTTAATAATTCAGATTTCTGTGTAGTGTGAAGAAAAAAACTAATTTAAAAATAATCAAAGTAGGTGCCATTTTGAAACTTACTAACATTTAGTTTTTATTAAAGTATTATAAAAGCACCAAATGCATAGACCTTCGAAGACTTTTTCCTGTTTAATATAGTATACATTTATTACATGTTGCCATTACTTATATGGAGCCTAAATTCAGTGTTTTGAATGTAGAACAGTTAATGTATGATTTTTTTCATATTTATTAACTCACACAGTTATCCAATCACATTACGTAGCAAGAGGATAAAATGAAGCAGGTGTTTGGTACAATAAGTGATGATATTGTTGTTGTTGTTATTAAATGCCTTTGAGTCAGTTCCAACCCATAGCAACCCTGAACAGGATTTCCAAGGAGCAGTTGATGATCTTGAACAGCCGACCTTGTGGTTCAAACGTACTTTGCAGTCCAGAGCATTAACCCACAGGGCCACACCAGGACTCCACAATAAATGATAGTGCAATGTTATTCTAACCAGCAGATTCTTCTTTTGAGTCTAGAGTTTCATGAATACATCACATGTTCCCACACAACTCAACAGTATTGTTTTAAATAATTGAGTTTGGTTAATGATTTAACCCATTGGTTTGGGAAAGTATTTTTCATTGATCTCTCTATAGTACTCAGTGTGGCTAGGCTTTTACTTTTTTTTTTTTTTGAATTTCCTTCTGATGCCCAGTTTGTGTTCATTTCATCACTCAGGGTTATAATGTTTTTCATTATGTATGGTGGGAGTTTATGAAAATAAGCCACAATTGGGGCTTGATACCATGGACTCTGTTTCCCTGAAAAAGTAATCTGGGAATTAAGAATGTCCCAGCCCCTGGATCTACAATAATTCTCTTCAACCTAGACAATTACATCAACTCAGCTACAAGTCACCATCTGCTGTAGCTCTGTTGCCACAGTGCTATCTCGGGAGTTACCTTCCGAGCCACAAACTTGGCGATGTCACTCTTGCTTAAAAACATAGATGGATCCTCACAGAATTCACAAAGCTCTCCCTGAAAAGCCTGATCCTTTCATCATGTCCTCATACCTTTGCACTTGACAACCAGTGTTGTGACTGGGAAAAGGATGTAGCAGGCAGTTAAGTTTCATCATTTCTTATGTCCTTTGCCATTTTTTTTTGTTGTTGTTGTCCAAGAGCATTTCACTTACGTCCAAATGTTGGTGCTCTGCATAGAAAAATCACCAGATGAACCAAAATAGGTCATACCACTGTCATATCTTTTGGAACATTTATCATAGTACTATTTTATTTATATAAGTTGGCAACATTTTTTAATAGGGTGTATAGAGTTTTCTAATTATTTCCATTAAAATCCTGTGATTAGATCCCATATAGGCATTTTAAATTGTAGGGACAAGTGCATAGTTGTATACACAGCAGTTGCTGTGGGTCCAGAGTATAGAAACATTGTTGCCCTGAATGATAATGCTGAGGTTTGTTATGGTAAAAAGGGTCAGAGGTCCTGAGGTCATGACAGGGGTTAAAGGATTAGCATGTGACAATAAGTTCGGTCAGGAAAATGGAAAAGTAGAACTAATTTTTCTTGCACCCACCTGTGCTTTCTGTCAAATAAAAACGTGTGGTAATGACACAGTGAGGAGAAGAGACAAAGGTTAATGAGTAACACAAGTTCAAATGTGTAATGTATTGGAGCGTAAATTGGATCATACAATGCAGTGTGCCTGAGCCAACTAACAAAGGAGATTGAGATCACAGTGGAAAATTTGGGGAGGCAGGCAACTTAATTTCTGTTGTTTGAACAGCTTAGACCCATTAATGCATGCCAATTTTATTTAGCATAAGTGTTGTTTGCAAGAAGCACTTTTAAATGACAAAACTACAGCTGTTCAGAAGGACATTAAGAATTTCAAACAGTTTTTCTATAACTTAATCTTTCACATCCTTGTACCAGATACTTGTTCTCTTGTTCTTCAGATACCATTGAGAGGAGATAGTAATAGCTACTAAATGATGTTATAATTATATGAAACTTAGTATTAACAGGTGCTAAAAATTTGTGAAAGCCTGGTATAGAGTCAGGGTCACAATGGTTTGTTTTAAGGAATTATATAATTTAAATATTATACTGCCATTTTGTTGTTTAATGTGTATATATATATATATACATATATGTATGTGCACATGTATATAAAGAAAGAGAAGAGATAATGCATTCTATTCTTAACAAGCATTTATACTTTTATTGCACATGGGAAAAGAAAGTAGACATTACCCCAAATGACAGTCTTTCAAAAGTTTACCCTTGTAGAATTATGAAAATGGCCCTACTTAAGGAATTTAATGATCTGCATTTATTTTAAATTGTATTTTCTTTTTCAGGCAAAAGCTTAAATTTTTGATGTTTGGCTTTTACAAACTAGGGGGAAAAATTAAAGTGAAGCTGAAAAAACATTTTGAGAAACATAAAAATAAATAAATGACCCATGAAGGTCTAAGAGGCAGAAAGTGTCTGTCAGTTCTATTAATTCACAGTGGTGGCCCGACAGAAACACGTTTTGTGAATCTAGCGCGCAGATAAAAAGAAAGGTCAGAGTTCACAGAGCTAGTTTATCGCAAATGGTTCTCATGGATTTTTGTTTTCCCTCAGGTTTTCTGGGTTCATTGTTTAAATGGCCTCTTCCACTCAGTTATTCTGTTTTGGTTTCCACTAAAAGCCCTTCAGTATGGTAAGTAGAAAGGATATGAATGCTAAGAGATGACTTTTTACTTTTTTAGAAAAATAACTCATTGTCAGTATATGTTAAAAAGTATAGCAGTGCTTTTGTTTTATGGTATTACTGTTAACCTAAAATGCATGCATCTCAAAGTTGTGCACACTTTAAACATTTTTTATTATTCCTTTGGGAGCAAAATGATTTAATATATGCAAAGCTTTTCTTCTTCTAATTTTTTGCAAACTTGTATCAAATTAATTTTAGGACTCTTTTCGTCCTCTGTTGATGTATAGTTTGAAGACAGTAAGTGCTAATATTTTATGTAGTCTATTTATTATACCTATGAGGCTTGTATCAAGCTCTTTATATTGAACTTAATCAGACATGCTAGTGTTTTCAAGTGTACTTGAGCTGATGTTTGGATGGGATTTTAATGCTTTTATATTCATCTTGGGGTGTAAGCATTTTCTCCTCTCACATTGAGGGAGTGATTTCATTCTGTCAGTCTTGAGAGATAGGATCACGGTGTATTTCCTATACACATAAAAATGATTAAGTAGCCACTTTAGAAAGGAGATCCCTGTGCTGTTTAAGCGGCTGCTGCAGTGTCCCGGAGCAGACCTCTTTTAGAGAGCATGGGGAAGACAGGCAACCATTCAGTGTCTCCGCTCCAAAATGACAATAAGAAAAAACACAACACACTCCACCCAAGGATGTATCAGTTCTTCGTAAGTACACACCAAATGTCACTGTCTCTGAGTTAATGATGGCCAGTGGAAGCTAATGCTGTGGGTTCTTGCCCACCTACAGTCTGTTTTCCACAGGCAGCCAGAGAGAGCCTTATAAAATGTAAATCACAAAACCACGGAGACTTGTAGCACATGTAGAACTGAATCTACAGCCCTGACCCTGGCTCATTCCTAGACCTAGTCTGCTTCTTACTCTTCCCTCCTCGTAGTGCTCCCATGCTCTCCTCCTCGCTGTTCCTCAGATACTTGGGAAGCTCTTTCTCACAGGTCCCTCGTGTCTCTGCTCAGGAAGGGTTCCCCAAAGCACCCTGACTATTTCCATTGCTACCCTCATTCTAACCCACGGTGGTATGGTGGTGGTATGCTATGGCTCCGGTTCCAACTAGTCATTCTGTATTTTCTGCATCGTTTTTGCCTAACAGGGTGTGGTATATTTGTTTATGTTGTATTGCCTTTCGCCACTGTTAGAATCAAAGTTCCCAGGGAGGCAGTTTAGCTCAATGTTGTATTCGCAGTGTATAGAGCAGTGCCTAGCTTACAGTAGGCACTCAAACAAATTATCCATGAATTAGGGAGACTATTCAGCTTGAATGAGGTTACAAAGAAGGCAGTGGTTTCATGTTCTAGACAAGGACTTTAATCTCACATCTCAGGTTATTTCTCCATCTGTTTAATGTTTCAACCTCTAGACCATACAAATAAGAGTGATCAGAGAATCTAACTCAAATGTAGACTATTGACCCAGGAGGCTAGGAGACTGGCAACAGAGTTTTGTTTTTGTTTTGTTTTTTAAGATATGATTCACTTGCTATTAAGTTTACTCTTTTCAATTTACAATTAAATAATTTTAGTATTTTCATAGAATTGTACAATCACCACCACTATATAATTTCAAAGGTGAAAAATCAAGGTTTCTATTCAGTTACTAATACTGTTGTAAGTAATGAAATGTTTCTACACTGAATTACATTATCAGACAGTTTTGTTGTTGTGAAGTTCCATGGAGTCATTTCCAACTCATAGAAACCCTGTATAGGGTTTGCAAGGAGCAGCTGGTAGGTTTGAACTGCCTACTTTGGTATGAGCCCAGTACTTATCCTACAGTGCCACAACACGACCCCAAATTTGTTGATAAGATATAAAATTTATTAGATTATATAAATATTAAGAGATTTAAAACTATATTTACATTGATCACATATGATCAAAAGTGAACCCAAACATTACTAAAGGCTCTGTTGATCTGGAATGAAAAGATGAGTGCCGAGTGACACCATTAGTCACTATACTGGGTTACACTTGTCTTAGTGAGGTCACGGCCTCACTAAGTCTGCCTCCAGCACTACTCTTGTCTCACCCACACTTTGTCCTAACAAGTTATGTTTGAATAATTCATGCATAAATAAAGTATTATCTTACACCATTCCATGAGTTTTAAATTTTTTGTCGGTGCCAATGACTTATTCAGTTATTTTTATATTTTGATTTGATTTTTTTTTTTTAAGTAATTTTAAGTTTTTGTTTGTTAGCCACAACTCCCTTTTATTTACCGGTTATCAGTTTCCGTGGAGTCAGTTCCAACTCATGACAACATCAAGTGCATCAAATAGAACTGTGCTCCATAGTGGTTGATTCTTAAGAAATAGGTCATCGGTCTTTCTTTCAAGGCAACTCTACGTAAACTTGATGCTCCAAATGTTTAGCTAGTAACAGAGCATATTAACCATCTGTACCACCCAGGCACAACTCCTTTTGCCTAGAGCCATATTTTTCAGTCATTGCTAGGATAACAAAAGACTTTTGTTGTTGTTGTTGTTGTAAAGTGCCGTTTAAAACCCCTGAATTCAGATAGACCCACAAAAGTCCATAAACTTAGAATCATTGGTGCTCCCCAGCTCTCTGAGTCACTTTTATGGTGCAATGCCAACAACTGCATTGAGAGATACTAAGCCGGCTCCCTAAGCTTCTCACGCAGATTGTTGACCAGTTTCCGTCTCTTGTCTAATATCCAAAGCAGTGAGTTTTAATGGGGCAGTTGGTTTGGTTTGTATGTGTGTGTGGACCCTGAGAATTGGTTATCAAATCTACTTTATTCATGCTGGCTTTTAGAAATTTAGTTTGAAAGTTTTCATTTGCATCCCATCTTTAATTGCAACTGTGTCTGACTTCTGAAGGTATTTTAGGAAGTAGCCGAAATTCTGGCTACAGTGTATATCTCTTGGTTTTCCTTCTTTTTTTCAACACTTTATACATTGGTCTTTGAAAGAATGCTAGAAGGACCACATTGATTTTCTTTAATGAGTCTCTCTTCTCTTCATACAGGTACTGTATTTGGAAATGGAAAAACCTCGGATTATCTGCTACTGGGAAACTTTGTTTACACTGTGAGTGAGGAGATTTGCCACATTTGCATGTAAAACGGATTTATATGTGCTCTTCTCCCTACCCACCCACCCCCAATTTTAAATGTGTGCTTGTCTGAATTTAAGGGTTGTTTGTAGTTACCATTAAAAATAAAATATTTGACTTTTAAAGATGATTTCACATTAGGTTTTTAAAATAGCATTTAGAGTCATCCCTGATAAAATGGAACCTTGGTTGCTATTGTTTTCCATATTCCTAAACAGCTCTGGTAGTGTAGTGGTTATGAATCAGGCTGCGAACCACAAGGTCAGCAGTTCGAAACTACTAGCTGTTCTGTGAGAGAAAATTGAGACTTTCTGCTTCCATAAAGATTTACAGCCTCAGAAAACCTGTACAGGATCTCCATGAGTCAGAACCGATTCCAGGACACTTAACCACCACCACTTCACTCTTACTGCCCCTGCTTTGGTTTTTGTTTTCTCCCTTGTCACCTTTTCCTCGGTTTCCTGTTACTCCCAGTGTTAACACTTTCTTGCTTTCCTGAATTTATAGTAAATGTTATCCAGCTAGTCTCAGATCTGAGACCAGTAATTATCCTGAAGTCTCATGATACTTAAAACAGGAGAAAAATCTCCAGGCTATGGGGCATTGAACCTGTGTAAACAAGCCATGCTGTAAGTCAATATGATTTGTACTTATGCAGGATGCTTAGATGTATAAGAGTCCATCCCTGTCATTAAAGAGCTGAGAAACATTTTCAAACCACTTCCCCTTAAAAGTCAAAAGCATTTCTTGAATGTTAATGCCCAAGGTTACATAATTAGTATCCAATAAAAGTCTTCTCCAACCTTCAAGCTCTAAATGCCTCGTCTAATGTTCTTCCTCTGCACTCCTGTGCCCATTCCTGACAAAGCCCTCTCTGTTTGGGAGGGCAACACACTGTTCTAAACAGGAAAGCCAGGAGTACAGTTGACTTTGTCAGTAGAAGATCAATTATGTGGCGTTTTAACTATCAAGTGTGTAAAGAACTGAATGAGAGGAAGGTAAGATCTGTAGGTCATAGAGGGAGTAAATGTCTTAACATCACTGATGTCTATTTTATATGGACACCAACCCACTGAAGTAGTTGAGGGAAAACAAAAGTATGTTTGGAGGTTGGTAATTTGACATGGTTGCAAAACCAGAAATGTATAAATAGTAGATAGAGAATGCTCGAAATTTATCAAATTATATATCAGGGAAGGGGCCATGGTGGTGCAAATGTTAACTGTCAAAGTGCTCAGAAAGGTTGGCAGTTCAAACCGACCCAGCTGTTCCTCAGGAGGGAGGTCTGACGGTCTACCCCTGTAAGATTGCAGCCACAAAATGCTGTGAGGCAGTCCTGCTCTGTTACATGGGGTCACTTTGAGTCAAAATCAACAACGACAACAAAATATCTTATGGACATTCCCTATAAATACTTCAAAGTCCTGATGTGGTGCTGTGGGTTAATGCACCAGCCTGCAAAACCGTTTGAACTGCAAGGTCGGCAGTTCAAGTTCACCAGCCACTCCTAGAAAACCCTAGACGCGGTCGCTATGGGTCGGAACTGACTCGACAGCGTTTAACAACAACAGCAATGGTGCCGTAGGCTAAGCACTGGACCTCTAATTGTGGTTAGCAGTTCAAACCACCAACTGCTCCTTGAAAACCTTATGCAGGTTCGCTGCAAGTTGGAACCTACTCAACAACACTCAACAAGTCCCAGGAGGATAATTTTCTTTCATTTATTTTAAGCTCTATGTCTTATTTTAGAACTTTTTATATAACTTAATTTAATTAATTTTTACACTTTAGTAAGAGTTTTATTTCTCCAGACATTAATCCTAAATTGCCTTTTGTATCCTGCTGAGAAAGCCCCCAACTTCTCACTTTAACTGAACTTTACGATCCCACTGGGTCATAATACAAATACAGATATTAAGTGTAAAACTTTAAAGTGCCTGAAAGCGTGATGAAGCACCTCAAACTTTTGTTAATCTCCAGCCCTGGACAAGCATCCCACACTCATCACTAGAAATCATAGAAAGAGCTCAGCGTTCACGGGACTAGAACAACATTTTCAATGTCACTAGTTATAATTGCACAGTAGTGCAAATAGTAATACATAATTAATAGTTCAGTGTTGACCACTGTCTGAATGTTTTACATTGAGTGTTTTACACTCCAAAACTAAAAGCTTGAGGTAGACATACTTTATTAGTTAGTCCCTGATTACAGATGAAGGAGACAGAGAGGTGTTAATTAACCAAAACAGCTAATAAGTGATTGTGTCTTAAGCATAGATAATCTGATTCCAAATGTATCCATTTAATCAGTATGCTATACTACAGAAAAACACAGAGTCGTTCATTGAACCCTGGCTCCCTTGTTCCAGATTAGGAGGTATGGTCACTGTGTATGGGTGTACATCATTGAGGGATTAGCAGACTAGTCTCTTATGCAGGGTTTGACAAAGTAAAGTTGCAGCATGTATGTTTAGATTGTTTAATATCCAATTATTTTGCTTTTGTACTATTCTTTATATGTTAAAGGTATAAATTGGACTTTTAAGTATTAAAGGTGGTATAAAATAAAGTTAAAACAAGCTTGAAAACCCTTTTTACTGCTATTCCAGAATTATTCAAAAAGCAGGGAGACACACACATCAGGAGTTCCATGGATGAACTCTAAGGCTGTGGGCATCAGGAAAAGGCAGGGAAGGGCACTGGGAGTGTGAAGCCAACAGTGCCAAATAATCATGATGTTCAGCCAGCCAGGAGTTCACCTAATTGTTTGCTTGTTGAACATATAACATAAGCTTCATATAATACACTAGCCCTCCAGTCCCGTTCAGAGAACCACTTGTTTACAAATCTCACTTTCATTCAGTTGATGAAGCGTCATATTTAAGAAATAAAAGAACATCTTTCTTCTGTTTTAGTTTGTGGTGATAACTGTGTGTTTGAAAGCTGGACTGGAGACATCCTATTGGACATGGGTAAGAGTACCTTTAATCATAACCAAGAAATGTCACATGTACTTAAGTGTTACTTCCTTTTTTTATTTTTTCATTCTAACTTCATGCGCCCCACTCTCCTGGTCCTACAGCTTGTTGATGGTTGGGAACAAGGAGTGGAGAGGGAGAAAACTAGGATTCCAGTCTGGAAACACCCAGTTAAGCCAATCTGAATAAATTTGTAGAGTCCCTGGGTGGCATAAATTGTTGAGCATTAGCCAAAAGGTTGGTGGTTTGATCTCACTCAGCGGCATCTCAGAAGAAAGGCCTGGGAATCTGCTTCCCAACAATCAGTCTATGGAGCACAATTCTATTCTGACACATAATGGGTCACCATAAGTTAGAATCAAATTAATGATCACTTTAAAGTAGAATAATGGTACGTTCATTTACCACACAGCTTCTCAGAGACAAGCCTATAATATGATGTTGTATTTTGAAAGTAACCTAAGAATGAGGGAGCCTTTCAAATGTATATTACTAGGACTCTTTTCTTAGTAGAATGTCACAAGACTGACATTCTAGAGAAATTCCATTAGAACATTATTCTAATAATGCAGAAATAGTAGTGGAAAATTGTCTCCAGACTTCTGTAAACAAACACTCATTCTAGATAAAACAAGTTCCATTTTAGATATATTTGTTTTGAGGTACAGTCAGCACTTACAGGTAGAGAGACCCAGTAAACAAAAAAAATTTAAACTTTAATGCTCAGGGCAAATATTGGCACAAGAAATTTGGAGTTGATGGGCATCAGGATACAAATAATGTTCTTCCAAGTGCCTAGCATCTGTCAGCAAGAGCATGCAGAATGAAACTCAAAGAGACTTGACTGTGGCAGGGTATACAAAAAGATACTAAGAGGAGAGAACCACCAAAGAACCTGAGAAGGAACATTCTCAATTCCATATCACAACCATCATAATAGTTGTGGAAGAGATGAAAAGTATAAACCCAATCAGTTGCCATTGAGTCAATTCTGACTCATGGCAATCCCATGTACTGCAGAATAGGATTGCACTCCATAGGGTTTCCAGAGCTAGGACCTTCTAGAAAGGAACTCTAGTTTCACTGTAGGATAAGCACTTGACTGCTAACTATGAGGTTGACAGTTCAAACCTACCAGCCACTCCACTGGAGAAAGATTAGGCTCTCTGTTCCCATAAAGATTTATAATCTTGGAAATTCTGTATCGGGTCACTGTGAGTCTGAATCATGTCAGTGGCAGAGGGTTGGGGATTTTCTAGAAACAAATTACCAGGCCTTTCTTCTGAGGTGCCTCTGTGTAGGTTTGAACCACCAACCTATCAGTTCATGGCCTAGCGTGTAACCAACCATCTGAGCCACGCACGGACTCCATGGAAGAAATAAGAAGTAAATAAAAGATCCAGTA